GATATGGTTACATTTACATGTGACTTTGTACTTTTTGTTTTCTTTGTGTCACATAGCTTTTTGTTCCTCTGTCCCTTAGGGCTTTATTTCATGTTAAGTAAATATTTTCTAGTATAACATTTTAATTCCTTTCATGATAGTTTCAATATTTCCAAATTTTATTTTCTTAGTGGTTTCCCTAGGACTTGCAATAGACGCCCTAACTTACCAGAATATACTTCAGATTGTACTCACTCAGTGCCAATGAGATACAGAAATCTCCTCCTATGGTACTCTCTCCCCTCCTCCCCTTGTTATGCTATTATTTATACACATATTACATCAACATATATATACGCCAAACCCAATAATATATTGTAATTATTATGTTATACAACCTGATGTCTTTTAAAGAATCTCAAAGAAGAAAGAGCAGATATATATTAATAGAGTTTGTTTGTAACCTTCTTATTTACCATTTTTTATTCTCTTCATTTCTTTTTGTGATTACTATTTGGCATAATTTCCTTGCTCCAAAACAATGTTGTCCTCCCATGCACCTTTGTGGTTTTATTGTCGAAGATGTTAAATTTCCATTACAGGCCCAACAATGCAATTATATACATATTGTTTTAGACAATTGATTTTTAAATCAATTAACAGAAGAAAGGAGGAAAAATGGAATTATGCTATCTTTTATAATTACCTTCATTAATGTTCTTTGGGGGTTTCTTTTGGGGGTGGGTGGGTGGGGGGTGTGTGTGTGTGTGTGTATGTGTGTGTGTGTGTGTGTGTGCATGCATGCATTCTAATTAGTGTCTGGAATCACTTGCTTTCAGCCTGAAGAACTTGCTTTAGTGTTTCTTGTAAAACACATCTGCTAACAGCAAATTCTTGGTTTTTGTACATTTAGGAGTGTTATTATTTCTCCTTCATTTTTGGAAGATAGTTTTGCTGGATATAAAATTCTTATTCATAGACTTTTCTTTTCAGCACTTGGAATATGCCATCCCACTACTTTTGGATCCACTGTTCTGAGAAGCCAGCTGTTAATCTTATTGGGATCCCCTTATACATGATGAGTCTTTTTTTTTTTTTTTTTTTTTTTTTTTTTTTTTTGCTCCTGCTAATTTCAAGATTTTTCTCATTATCCTTTGGCTTTCAGAATTTTCACTATCACATGTCTGGGTATAGTCTCTGTGTTACTCTATTTGTAGTCTGTTGACTTTCTTGGATGTATAGGTTAATGTTTTTCATCAAATTTAGGAAGTTCTTTATCATTATCTCTTTGAATATTTTTCTGCTCTTTTCTCTACTTTCGGTACTCCCATTACATGTATGTTAGTGTGCTTAATGGGTGTGTCACATTTCTGTGAGACTTGGTCTTCCGCCTGCTCAAAACAACTGTTGATCCCTCAGTGAATTCTTTATTTTTGTAATTTACTTTTCAACTCCAGAATTTCCATTTTGTTCATTTCTGTAATTTCCCTTTCTATTATTTGATGAAACATTGTCATCATACATTTCTTTCTTTAAACATGGTTTCCTTTAGTTCTTTGGACATATTTATAATAGCTACTTTGATGTCTTTGTCTGCTAATGCCTGAGCCCTCTCAAACACAGTCTGTCACCTGCATTTTTCCTGAATCACACTTTCTAGTTTCTTTGCAAATCTCGTAATTATTTACAACTAGACACTTTAGATAATATATCATAGCAATTCTGGACACTGATCCTCCTCACTCTATTTCCCCCACATCTAAACCCAACTTCTTGTTTGCTTATTTGCTTAGTGACTTAGCTAGACTAGTTCAACAAAACTGATTTCACTACACTATGCCTCTAATGTCACTCCTTAGAGGATACCGCCTTGGGATGTGACATGCTTGTGTTTTCTTTTTTAAGTGGCATAACTCTTTCAAATGGCTCTCTGACTGCCTCTCTGCCTGATCTCCTTGTTAAATTTCTGGTGGGTCTGTTTCTATTATTACCACAGCCAGCTGTTAGCCTCCACCAATTTCTAGCTGTTTGATCTCTTGTTTTTAGCCCTGGGGCATAAAATGCCCCTACAGCCCGATTCAGTTCACGTCAGCCCCCTTCACAGAGAAATTCTCCAAGACCATTCCTTGAAGCTTGCTCTCACCCCAGAAGGACTCTTCTTATCTCTCTCTTTCTCTGGTTCTCTCTGTTAAACTCCTAGCTACAAGGCCCCTCCTAATTGTCCACCACCAAAATTTCTATTAGTTTCAACAGCACTTTAGGTTGTAACACCAGTATAAATTCAAACCTTAAAATACACAAATTCCTAGAAGCTATAACTTAATAAAACTGATTCAAGAGGAAAAATAAAAGTTGAATAATCCTCTTTATTAGAGAAATGTAATCAGTATTTTAAAACTATCCCATATCAAGTCCAGATCATTTTTAGTGGAAAGTTCTACCAAACATTCATGTTATGAATATTCCATCTTACACAATATATTCCAGAGAATGGAAAAATAAGGACATTCTCCCAGTCATTTGATGAGAGGTGCAAAAGCGTGATAGCAAAACTAAGGACATCCAAGAAAAATAAATGCCTATCTTATTCATACACATAAATGAAAAAAATCCTAAACAAGATATTATCACATAATTAAGCCAAGAAATTATTGCTAATTTTTTATATTTAATAATGGTATGGATTTTTTAAGTTGTTCTATTACAGTTGTCCCAATTTTTCCCCACTGCTCTCTCCCCTGCCATGCCCCCACCCCCTGCTCCCACAGTCAGTCCCCACCCTGTCTGGGGTTTTAAAAGAAAATGTCCCCAGTGTTAAGAGTTGCATATGAAAGTAGGTAAAAGTAGCATGGCTCAGCTGGATGGAGTGTGGTCCTGTAAACTGGTCAGGGCACACACCTGGGTTGCAGGTTTGGTCCCTGGTCGGGGTGCGTACGAGAGGCAACTAATGGATGTTTCTGTCTCGCATCGATGTTTCTCTTCCTTTCTCTCTCCTTCCCTTTCCCTCTCTCTCAAAATCAATAAGCATGTCCTCAGGTGATGATAAAAAAAAATAAAAATAAAGTTAAAAAAATACATGTAGGTGTTAAAAATGGATCAGTTCTCAAATATTCTAGAATCTGGATATGCATTTAATGGGAGTTTGTCGTTATTGTCTCTGCTTTTGTCTGTATTTGAAAAGTTTTATAATACAAAAGGACTAGAAACATTGGCTTGATTATATATAATTTTTTTTTTAAAAAAAAAGAAAATAGACACATTATAAGGTGTCAGAAGCGCATGTCATCCATGGACAGGAATTTGACAAGGTGGGGAATTCCGTGTTTAGACATTTGGCCTCATCCAAAAGGAATCCCCAGCGAGGTGCATTGCAAACAATGCTGTGTGGTCTCTGATGGCAGAGCAGGGCCACGCTCCCCATGCTGGGCAGGACATTCCAGGGGGTGGATGAAGTTCCTGGCCACGCTAGATGGAAAGGAAGTTCCATAACTCACAGCAGTTTCACAGCTAGAAGTGGACCGAGGGCTTCTTTGAGTCAGAGGTGAGTTTAGCCTTTACCTCCAACACCAGGATAAAGATGATGTATGTGAAAAAGTCAGCAGATTGTAAAGCTCTACAAATGTAAGATAGTTGAAATGTTATTTATAGAAGCATTTATCAGTTCTAGAATTTCCATTTTGTTCACTTTTATCATTTCTATCTATTATTTGGTAAAACATTGTCATACCCTTCTTTAATTCTTTAAGCATGATTTCCTTTAGGTTTTTTAACATACTAATAATAGTTTTTTTATAAGAGCTGTAAAAAGCGTAGGGAGTACAACTACTTTGGAAAACAGTTTGGCATTTCTGCAAAATGTTAAATTGATTTAGCATATGACCCAGCAATCCTAGTCCTGTATGTACACTCAAGAGAAGTAAAAATATGTTTATACAAAAACTTGTACACAATGTTCACAGCATCACTATTCATAATGGCCCAAAAGTGGAAACAACCAAAGTGCCCACCGCTGGTGAATCGGTCAGCAAAATGTAGTGTTTCCGTACAGTGGAATATTATTTAGCAATAAAAAGGGAGAAAGCATTGACACAGGCTACAACATGGATGGACCTTGAAAACGTTTTGCTAAGTGAAAGCAGACAATCACAAAAGATCACGTATTTAAGATTCCGTTTATATGAAGTGTCCCAGATAGGCAAGTCCATACAGAAAGTCCGTAGATCAGTGGTTGCCAATGTCAGAGGGTCTGGGCTTCCTTCGGGAGTAGTAAAAATGTTCTGAAATTCGATAGTGGTGCTGGTTGTACAACTCTGTAGATATGCTAAAAACCACTCAACTGTATGCATTAAAGGGGTGCATTTTATGGTGTGAGAATTATATCCCAGCAAAACTGACATTTGAGATAAGAGGTGGTGGGGAGAGAACAGGGGAAGGAGAGTTCAGACCAAAATGGCTTTATCTCCTACATTCCATGCCATCTATTACCACGGTTACCAGGGTCCCGGAGACTTCTGTCAAATTCAGAAAGATGTACGATTTATTTTTTCAAAACTTCATTGAGAAAATGCCAGGTCCAAAGCAAAAACAATAAGAAAGCCAAGCAGTGTCATTTTACTCCCCCACTCCTTAATTTGCTAACCTGGAGGAGAAGGAGGCTTTGGGGACGGAGGCCTCTAAAAATTGACGGGCTGGGCGTCAGGACACACGGGGCTACAGTGTGGCTCGTGAGAGGCAGACGAGCCTTCCCACGGCCGGTCTCCTCTTCTCAGACTTCCCCCTCCCGGCCGGCAGTGGGCGTACTCATTGCACTGGCAGGCAGAGCTCTGATCATTTTTATTCATCACCAAATCTAATGGTCAGCAGAGCCACATGTACAAGCCCCTGTCTTTCTCACCCACCGCCTAAGCACCAGTCCCTGGCTTTATCTGCTGTGGCGAGGATGGATTACTCACCGGGCCAGCTGGCTTTCACTCACTGCGCGTTTTCTCTCCCCATTGTCCCACCCTCTTTTTGTTTTTCAGTGGCTGCTTCAACCCCCAACTCCACTGCTGGCGCGGCCATGAACTCTTTGACCTCTCTTGGGACTCTGCAAGGACTGGCGGGAGCCACTGTTGGACTGAATAATATTAATGCACTTGCAGGTACCATAAACAGTGAGTATTTGTTGCTCTGGTGGACAGCCTTCCCCCAAATTCTACACAGAAAATGGTCAGCCAGAAATGACCTAAAAAAGGATACATAACAGGGAGAACTAATACTTGGGATGGAGGAGCACATGCTTTGATAGGCAGACACTATCTAGGTTCCTTCTGCCTCAAAATACACCCAACCACTCACCACCCTGGTCTTTTTCTAATATGCAGCATGTGCATATTCTTCTATACATTTCTGTGGGTGGCAGGCATTTGCAGGTTTTGAGGGTTTTGGTTGGGTTTTGGGTTTTTTCTGCTCTTCTAAGAGGCAGTGTGCTAACAACAGAAAAACTGATGGACCAGCAGTCAGGACACATGGATCCAGGCCCCAGTCTGTGAGCAGTTACTTGTAGGATCTTAGGCACATCACTGCCCCACTCTGAGCTTCATTTTCCCAGTTGAAAATTGAAGGTTCTGGATCAGATGATCTTAAAGGTGTCCTCCAGCTCTACAACCCAAAGATTCATGACAGTTATACAGAGCCAAGACAGGGGGTGGGAAGCAGGAAGCCTTGAAACAAAGGAAATCCAGCTGAGCAGAGAGGAGCCGCTGCTGAAGGGAACGGGGTCTGGAGTCTCTCTTACGCACCACAGGCATGGGTTACTAATCAGCGCAGCTCCAAAGGGTTGTTGTTCTACCACCACAGGTTGAGGCAGATTGCTTACAGAGTCACTTTGTTCTGAAACATTGGGACTTGCTGAAGAATTCTAGGTTCTGTTCTATGTAGCTTACCCATGTCTGGCACTTTAGATCTTTGCAGGGAACAGTACCCCGCCAGCAGATAAGTATACCGGAGGTTCATGCTTGGCGTTGGCCCCTGCACAGGGGAAAGTCCTCAGCCCAGAGCGAGCCCCTCATTTGCCTTCCCCTCAGTTTGGTCGCCGCTGTTTGGTGCCTGAGAGCAGCCAGCCCCATCAGGTCCTTGACAGCCCAAAGAGATTCTGATTTTGAGGGTCCACTTACCACACAGCCCAAGCAACCTAACACCACCCATTTTAAGCATTAAGAAAGGGGTTCTTCAAGAGTTGCCATGATTCGATAAGCAAACTGTTCTTAAAGGGTGATCAGGCCGTACAATTTTCTCAAAAGGCAAAAACAAAAAAAAAATCCCAGTAACTCTATATTTTAAAACCTCAAAAATAAGACCTTGCAGTTTATTTGGTAAAAAAGAACCTAGAACTCATCCAAATGAAGGCTAATTTTATCATTCTGGTAAGACAATGTATCATATATTTAGACGTAGGAAATATTCAGGTTTTATTAAATCCTTTTATTCAGATTTTTGAGGAAAAACAAAAACTTGAACTGAGTTTTATCTGACCATAAGCCAAATGCAGAAAATAAAAACATCTTTCCTTCCACATGATGGCTCTTTATTAGCAAATAGTATATGACGTGGTAATCATGCGACAGCAAAATGTTTTATTCCAGTAACACTGCCTCCAGCTCCCCCCTTTCCAAGAGCCCTCACTGCCTTGACTCCTGTTTCTGACCTTGTTCTGCAGACGCTCCAGCCCACTTGTCCTTGCCCTCGGGTGCAGGTGTGTGTGTTTGCACACAGCCCTTCATGCTGCTTCTCTTGCCCCAGGACCTAGTTCCCCTAAAACAAGGACTTTGATTTGATCGCCTGCCTGTCCTTGGTCTGCAAAGTAACAGGCCAGTGGGAGTGGCTGTCCTCCTCAGCACGTGCTCATAACTGTTGTGTGTCGTCCTATTGTCTGTGCGGTCTGCCTGTCTCCATCTGTTGTGTTGTACTTTGCTGGGATTTTCCATCCTTATGAGGGGCTAGAGAGGGGCCAGTTGTTGAATGGCAGAGACACCGTGACTAGGTCTTGCGTGAGATCCTTGTGATACAAATTTTGCTTCTGGCAAGAGCAACAGGCTTAAGTTGTTTTGTCTTTTAAAATTCTTTGCCACTAGGTTAATGTAAGTTTGTATAGTTCGTGGGAGATTAAGATATCTCTAGTTTCAAACAACTCCTACCAGAGAGTATGAACCAAGAGAATGTTTAATTAAATCAAAAATCATGCTAAAACAAAAATACATTCTTTCTGATTCGGTGAATGTTTCTAGCTCAGGGCTGTTTAACAATCCCAACAACGGCTAAAGGCTAACATTTGCTTCTGTCTCAAATACAAAGATAAAACCTAACACAGGGTGGCCTCTTTCAGACTATTTTCCCTCAACACATATGATGATGCCTGCCCGTCCTGCTGAATAATTCGCAAAACAGGTGGTCAAGAAACCGTCCCCTAGACAGAGGCCGCTCCTAAGGTAGCTGGCCTCAGCTTCCATATCATTGCTCTTTCCTGCCCCTCTGCATCGCAGGAACGACTACTTGCTGCCATAAGGAGAGTTTCCTGGCTTACTGTATAGAGCCATCTCCTTTCTGTGGACAGAGGAGACAAGAATAAAATAGGTAGATGGAATCCACAGTTAACTCCCAACTCAGTGTACCGTTTACCCTCTTCCCTCCCCGCTCCCTAAATGAAGTTTTGATTAGTTGACAATTAGCTATATTTAACTGAATTTGATCTCCTTTTCCTTCCTTCACACATTCATGAATGGAGGGGATAAAAAAAAAATAGTACAGTAGACTAAAGCTAAAAGCAGAAATTGTCCACATCAGAAGGAATGTGGGTGACTCACAGGGCTTTCGCTCACAGATTATTTGACAGTTCTTCAGGGATGTTTTTGATACTCATATCTGAACTAAGATGAAAATATTTTTTGCGGATATGTCCACCCAAGAGTCTGTATCTTATTTTGTATGTTTAAATGCAATTTTCCTTGTTTAAATGACTTACCCATATAGTGCATAAAATTATGATGGTCCAAATATAACCAGCCACAAATGCCTAGTGAGTAAAAATATTTTTTGTAAAGGACAGAAAAGAAATGATACTTTGGGCATATTATTGTGGCTTGTCACTCCAGTTGCAGAGTGAAATGACTGTTTTAATCTGTATCATTGGAATATACAAAGATATATGTACTTAGATACATACATAAGCACAACTTCACGCACACTTGTGAGCTGTGTAATTAACACAGGCATACATGAATGTCAGTAATTGTACTATTCTTACTCACCTACCCTGGTTCTACTGTCTACTTAAGTAGACATTTTCTACTTAAGTTCTCATTGTGAGCTTGCAGCTTAGAAGGATATGCTTTACCTGCACCAGGGGAAGTTATCTCAGTAAACCGATTTCAGATCTGTGTGAACACGTTAATATGTGCTTCACTTTTGCTCTATTTTTATTTGGTAGAAAAGTTAGCAGAGTGGCTTGAAAACAACTGTCGTTTGCTTATGGTGCCTGGCCTCTGACTCTCCATTTCAGTACCACCTTCATAGTGGCCACAAAAGTTTTTCATGCTCATACCTATGGGGGGTGTTCTTCCGTGTCATTTTCACAGATCTACTCAGTAATCTCACAGTTCCTTGGGTCTCCATCAGATGAGAACCTTTGGAGAGCAATTAAGTTTAAGGTACTTAAGTAGTCAAGATGCACACTAACTTTATTGACAGACCATTTGCAAGGACCTTCACTCATGGTGGTTGGCCACACCTGTCACTTTATCCTGGCCTTCCACGTCCAAATGGCTTTCACGGGAACCTCAATTAGAGGGGGTGAAATGACCAATCCATTTGGCCTTTTGAAAGAAAAGCCCTGTTGTTTTAAGGGGAAAAGCAATTTTATTCAACTTAACCGTCTTCAAACCTGTTTTCCATTGTGCAAAGTTTTTAGATATAATCAGGTGCCAGCAGCTGAATTGACGTGTTATCTCTGATATGATTATTTAATACGGAATAACATTAGTTAATCCGCAGGAATAACTCTCAGAGGTTGAAATCTTCCCTTGATGGTCCTTCAGATTCTCCCAGATAATCAGTTCCCTATTCTGCCTTGGCTTTTGGCAAATATACCAGAACTTCCAGGATAGTTTTGGTTTTAAATATTCTTAATGCACTGGTACGTATTAGAATTTTTATCCCTATTTTTTGTTTAAAAGGATGGTTATACCATGGTTATACCATTGAGGAAAGCTGTGGGCTGGAGAGGCCCTGAGCAGTGCTCCCCTTTTACTTGGTGCCGCCTCTACCCCCTCCCTCCCCACCCCCGGCAGGTAAGGCCGGCATGACTCCCTTTCACACGTGGAATCAGCTGATGGCGCGCAGAACCCTTCGGAAAGCAGATTTGCCCTGAGATAGAGTTCAAAAACAGAGCAAACCACTGTGAAGTGTAAGTGGGACAAGTGTGAGGAGGTGGCTGAAATGTCACTGGCTGGAGCTGCAAGCCACAGAGGACTCTAATCCCAAAACATCTATCCAATCTTTCAGGAGCAGGAAGTTCACTCTGCTTCTGTGTTTCAAAAGGGGAAAAAAAAAGCGGGGGAGGGCAAAGGAGAGAGAAGATTGTTGACCTATGCTGGACAGGAAAAAGGGCATGTCCCAGAGGGGAAGGGAGTCAGGGCCACCAGAGACTGTGGCAATTAAATACCACCTGTGTGTGAGCCCTCTGGAGAAGCCGGTCGCAGAGGCTGCACAGCACAGGACGGCTCTCCTACGCAGCCTCACCCGGAGGGCACGAAAGCTCCGAGGCCCTGCACAGGTAGTGCCTCCAACCATCCCATTGCTGTCAGGGGAATTCAGAGACATTCTTTGTAAGTGGAGCTTCTGTCTCCAGCCCTTTTGTCAGGCCGCTGTGTTCCACGTAGCTCTATAGGCCACAGTGCTCACCCGGAACCATACACTCCACATAAGTAGAGTGGCAAGTCACGGCTCAACTTTCCTCCTAGAATTTCTTCCCACACAGAAACCTGAATTTCCAGGGGGCCGAGCCCATGACATGACCATCCGTATCGCTAGCACCTATTAACAGCCTGACAAAAATGAAAGCAGCAGCACTTATCAGCTGTGCTCAGCTCTTCCCAAGTTATTTTACAACCTTCTCACCTCTCTCAGAAAAGAAACACCGATGTTTCTTTGCACTCACACAAATAGTGGGAGGTGAGGATGAAATAAGACCAAAAGAGGAAAAGAGAAGGTACTCCCCACCCCTTCAGCAGTTGTATAGAATAATGGGGATAGAGAAGAAAAGAAGCAGTGAGGTAAATGTGGTTAGTCATTGTCTGAGGGACCGTTTGATTAGGAGGACAAACTATCCAAGCTCTTTAACAGCACTTACTTGACTGACCAAAAAAACTTACTATGAAGGAGTCTAGTCTCTGTAAGAAACTTAAAGCGGAGTCAGCAGGACCTCTGCTGGCTAACCCCTTTTTAACTTTGTACTTCTGGGTGTGCTCGATTCCCTTTCTCGGTAGGCTCGTTCCATTCTCCTGTCCTTCAGGTGCTCCTTGCCACTCCACCTGCCCCCGGCATCCGTCAGTGCTTGGTAACATCCCCCAGGGCCCAGTTCTGTCTCCGCAAGCCCCCTAGGAAGAATACCAGACCTGAGACACTATGAGAGTCCTCTACTGTAAAGCAGTGGTCTGATTCATATCTTGTATGTAGTTGGGTTTTTTTTTTTAAATCAAAGAGATGAAGTTGTCAAAATAACAAGCACTATGGAGAAGGGAGAACACTCCCCGCCTCTGCCACCCGAGGACGGCAAGGAGAAAAACACTGATAGGAGTGTTAAGGTGATTCTGGCATAATTGCTAAGCATCCTTATCTCTATTCTCATTGGACTTCTTACCAACTTTTTTCAGTTTTTCATCTTTTCTGTTTAATAGCCCTTGATCAATAGCCCAAATCCCTTCAAGATTTTCATTAATGTTTTCAGTAAGTTCTCCCAGAAACAGACCTTAAAAAGAAGAAAAAGGTTTAATCAGAAAAGGAACGAAAGGCAATTATGATGTCACCTCTTCCATTTCCTGAGCTCATATGAAAGTTAACACTCCATAAAGTCTTGCTTGTTTTAACTTAGTATTCAGGGAAAATATGACACAATCAACAATCATAATAGAGCAAAAGAGCAGCCAGGATACAAGCAGAAAAAAATCAAAAAAATATGCTGGCCATCATCCAGTTCACATCAATGAATAGCCAGGACCCAGCTCACAGAAAGGGGCGTCAGCTTCACTTGACTGAAAAGCATGACACGGAGCTCTTTCATTGGCAAAAAACCCAGTTCCATGGGCACTCATTAATATTCCTGTGTGTGTATGTCTGTCTGTCTAAGTATCTACCTATTTGCTGCTGAAAACAAATGGCGCCATTCCATGTCTAGCCTTTCATACTGAATAAACAACTTCAGTCTCTGCATTTAGGGAAAGGGTTCACATTTTTTCCTGTGCCTTAACTCTACACCAGCTAAAGGCTATTCCTAAGCTCCTAGTCCTGGCAACGTTCTTCTATTCAGAAAAGCCAGTTAACAGAACTGCCGATTCACTGGGTTACTGAATATGGAGCATGTCTTCTCTGCCATTTTCTTGTCAGACAGCTTACAAGAGGAAAGTTTTATTTTATCCTTTCCACCTCAACCTCTTGGGTCCTCACAGAACCCAATAAATGGATTTAAGTGTACAGATGTTACAGACGTCTGGCGGTAATGTTTTTTACCCGCTTCCAAGCTCTAAGAAGCAACAGACGGCTTTTATTTCAAAAGGATAACCATAGTACTTGCCAGTAGCACACTGCATGGAATGAAGATGTACTGTCTAACTGTAGCACCTCAGTGATTGTTGATCGCTAACTGTAGCACCTCAGTGATTGTTGATCACTGGCCTAGGAAGTGAGGGTTACATTGCTCAGGGAGGGTTTTGGTTTGCAATTGTTTGTATTTTTACCATTATTATCAGTTACGACCGCATAGTTTCATTTTAATTTCATGTTGCTTTCATTGGTATGCTAGCTGCATGCACTTGCTATTTGTTGTACTTGTGTCAAATGATTCTCTAACTTCCTTTGGAAAGCACTAATGAAAAGTGCTGTTTCTCTTCTCTATTGTTGGGTTTTTTGTAAAGTTGCTCAAATGCTCTCAGGTATGGCGGCTCTGAATGGAGGACTTGGCGCCACGGGCTTGACGAATGGCACAGCGGGCACCATGGACGCCCTCACCCAGGCCTACTCAGGGATTCAGCAGTACGCGGCAGCGGCACTGCCCACTCTGTACAGCCAGAGCTTGCTGCAGCAGCAGAGCGCGGCGGGCAGCCAGAAGGAAGGTACGTGCTGCCCTCGGCCCCCCGGCACTCCTGGCGTGGCCAGCCCGACAGGCAACGTTCACCTTCAGAGCTACTTACCATAAAACCTACGCTGAGCTATAAAGCAATTGTTTATTTCTACTATTCATGGTTTTTCATTCAAGAAACCTGATAATCAAACTATTTCATTCAATCTTCTTTCCTGTTCAGACTTATATTTCTTTTATCTTTTGATTTAATTTTTCATCTACCTCTTAAGATGGATTTCTCATCCACCGTGTGTTTATACACAATTGCTTAGTAATTGCTGCCATCAAAAAATCGTCAGGAACCCCCTCCCCCAAATCAGCATTATTTCTCCCCTTACACGAAATTCCTCCTCAGTGGGAAGGATGAAGCGATCCAGTCCCTTGTGGGTTGAGCACTCTGTCCAGCCAGCCCCAGGTTTCTCAGAGTCCACACCATACCGTGGCTGTGGCTGTGCAGCCTGCCTCTTAGCAGGGGGCGGTTTCCAGGTTAATGATAAAATCCACCATTAGGAGTGACTCAGTCTTTAATTGGGGGTCTTCTGGGGAGTAGCAAATAAGTGATTGATTGCACTGCTTCTCTGCCAGTAAAGCAAAATGAGTGTCAGGAAGTTAAAGTTCAGAATAAATTAAGGCTAATTATAAAATAGTTAATGAGCTAGTCAAAATAGAAAGAGTTTGTCTCTTTTTCTTTCTTCCTTTTGGCTTCTTCCTTAACTGAAGTTTTTTGAAAGCAGAATCTTCAACATTGTTTTTATTCTCTTTCTGACTTGTTAAGAATATGGGATAAGAAGCTAGAATGAGGAAGTACTGTTAAAGAATTTTATTTAATTTCTTTCCCTTCACCCCAGAATTCCAAACTGTTTTTGTCTAAATACTTTAAATGTGGCATTCTATGAAGAAATAGGATAGTTTTTACATTACAAAGTTGTGAATTTTAAAGGGGACACAGCTTTAAAGATACTTGTGTTTAAAAAAAGGAAAGGTTTTTTTCCTGTTTATAAATATCAGAAATTATTTAAAATAAAAGATATGTGAAAATTTAAGTTACTTTTCATTATTTCAACTTTCTCTTTACTCTTGGTTGTGACTGTTGGAGGTTGTTTTTTTTTTAAACACAACTGTTCAGACAACTGTTCCCCCAGGCGTGTGGCGATGCAATGTCGTAAATACACAACTTCACAAAAGCCTGTTTTGAGGTCCCTTTTGTCTGCAGACTATAATGATGACACGTAAGGGCAGCAGGAGGGTCCTGTAAGATGACGAGGTTCCCAGAAGAGAACATAAGAGCCAGTTCCCCTACTTGGGGTTTCACTACCCTCTCCATTATCCAGCAGCACCTCACAGCAAACTGTAGAGCCTGTGTTGCTGGGAAAATGTCACCAGATGACTCAAAATTTAGTGGTTTAAGGATAGAGTCTGGGTCTTGAAACAGCATTTTCCCCAGCTGCTTTACTCCAGCTCACTGCCCTAAATTTAGTCCCTGCCTTGAGTTTTCAGGATTGCTTGCCCAGTGATTAACCTTCTTGGATTAATATGTTACAGTTCAAAATGACAATTACCAACTCCAGATTATGTATGTTTAGGTATGAAGCCTACCAGTAGCATGGTGTAGGGTTCTTTTGATTGTTGATGGTGGTTTTTTTGTTGTTGTTGTTCTTAATTGTATCTCCCTTTCTCGTACCTTCTTCTCATCCAGTTAACATGAGCTCAAGCACTGTAAACCATCTTAATATTAGTTTAACTAAAATAATGTAAAAGGCAAGTTATACTGGGAAAGATAAAAATCTCATAAAATTTTCATAATGACTTGTATCAAGTAGATTTTTAGATTTGCCACTACATAGTTCTGTCCTTTAGTCAAGAGAGTTGAAAGTCAACATGATGTATTTCATCGTGTACCCTGGGGTGTATTATCCCACAGGAGCATGAGCCAGCCTGGCTTTGTAAAGCATATGGTTTTAAATCTTCTGAAGGATTATAACATCCCTACTGATCTAAATCCAGGAAAATCCAGCATCTTGCCTGCCTAAATACCCTCTGGCCTCTTTCACACCTTCCCACCTCCCCATGTTTGGAGTAGACAAGTCACACCCACAAGTAGGAAGAGCCTCCATCACCAAACAGAAAGCTGGCGATCTGATACAGACACTCCAGTGCTTTATGCTACATCAAGTGCTGTATTAGAAATACAAAATATGAATACCAGCCAGCTGAGACCAACAATATAGCAGAATTCTAACAGGTTAAAATAATGTGTTCTAAGAGAAATCTGAGGAATGTGTGATTTGTCAGCCAGCTTTTAAAGGGAAAGGTGAGGCGGATAGGTGGAACTCTTCAAACGATTTTTACTTTTTACCATTGGCATCTGTGGCAGTAGCTACCTGCCTTGCATACAAGGGAGGTTTTCCATGTCAACATTTTTTCATTTGAGTGTTAACAGTGTTGGTGGTTTGCAAAATTCAAACTATTTGTTAGTGATAGGATAGAAAAATGGAGGGGTCTGTAGTAGGAGATGGTGGCATTTTTCCTGGAAAAATGATGGCTAAGAGGACAAAGCCTCCCTGGGTTTTCCTGTCTTCATATTTTCTTGGTCCCTCTATCTGGCAGGGATACAGTTGTCCAAACGTAGAGCAGTCTGGATGCCTCTGGCTTCAGAAATTTGCCTCAAAAAGTTTTCCTTGTGAAAAGCCCCACTCGTTAGAACAGTGAATGATTTTTTTCTTTGTAGGAAGAAACTGGTGTGACTTTTCTTTACTAAGATCCCTTTTATTTGTACAAAGTTATTTTTACCCCATTTATTTTTCTCTTTGACCCATTCCCATGGGCTCCCACCCACTGCAGCTCATGCCCTGGGGCTTCCCAGTAGGGTTGCCAGTCCTGGCTCCTCCTGTGAATGCCAGTTAAGGTTCCATGTGTCAGCTGCAAAGGTTACTTCACCAATTTTATGAGCTCCCTTCCCTCCCAAATACCATGCCCAGAGGCATCCCGTTCTTGGGCCTCACCAGAACCATCTGGGAAAGAATGTGCAACTAGTCCCAGCACCCTTTGACCTGAAAAGCATCCTTGCCTGTTTTATGTTAAAAGATGATTACCTTCCATCAGGTCATTTGGATTCCCACCTTTCCCCATTTTTGCCGCTTTTAACTGTCAGGTAGTTCTTGTGCAGGTGGCCAGAGGAGGGAGAATGAAATGGAAAGGAACTTAAGAGAACTTACCTCTCTAGCCAGCATAGCACAGATCTTCCTCACTCTGCCCTTGTTTCTTGTATTTCTAAAAAACGATGGGTAACAGTAAAGAGCCTGGCCTAGCTTCATCTTTGACTAGCTGCTGCATCTCATGCCTTCATTTCCAAGGCTAATCCCCAGTGGTATAATTCCTATTACAGTTGTAAAACTCTACCTACCTATTTTTCCCTTCCTTGACTCATTGCCAGTCATTTCTAATAAAGATGATTATTAGACTGTGTGTTAAGAGATTTGGCAAAACAAAACTGAATGGATAATTAAGTAAATGATTGAGAAATCCAAGCAGCATTACTGTTACATCCATTATTCTCAATTGCTACAATTTACTTAGAATGCACAGGACACTCCTCTGAGAGACACTACATATGTTCTGCAAAACATGACCATCCAGGCCAAACCTGTGCCTGTGTTCTCCTCCCCCACCTATCCTATGACCGCCACCCATGAAAAGCTTGAAATACTGCTCTGGTGCAGGGAGCGGACGTGACCCACAAAAGATTATCAGTGAACAGGAAGCCATTCTTAACCAGCGTTTCTGAGGAAATGATGAAAACCCAAGGCATGTTTGCTTTCCTAAAAGACACATTGGCACATGACATTTTATCCTTTTGTCCTCTGTCAGTATGAGGGAAAGGCAAATGCTTTTTGGCCTATCTGTTGTTAAAGCATTCCTAAGAAGAGGCTTTGGAAACTAAGAAGCGAAGAATACCTTACTCTGATTTTTGTTTCCTCTTTAGGTCCAGAGGGTGCAAACCTCTTTATTTACCACCTTCCACAGGAGTTTGGAGACCAGGACATTCTGCAGATGTTCATGCCTTTTGGAAATGTTATCTCTGCTAAAGTCTTCATTGACAAACAGACCAATCTGAGCAAGTGTTTTGGTATGCAAAAGAAACCAAGCTAGAATATTGCAGCACATCCCCAAATGAGAGGAGTCTGTGGGAAGGAAGACATAAATAGCAAATACTTTAGAAGTCAGGATAGGGCCTTCCTTGTGCAAAGGTGTTTCCTGGTTCTCTGGATCCATATAAGCAGACTGAGCAAAGTTGTTTAATCAAAAGAAAAAAAAAAAAAGACAGAAAAAGGAAGGATGTGGGAAACTAAACGAAATGCCCATACATTTGGTAATGTTGTATACTGTATTATGGACATGTCTTACTACATATGTCTACTACTCAGTCGCTGTAGGGAAACAGTAGTTCCTTTAAATCTCATAGATTAAACCACAAACTCTACCAGATGGGAATACAGTTAATGAACTGTAGCTTTGACTGTCCTGATACAGAGCGGCACAACAACCACCTTACCACTAATTCCTCACCCTGCCAGGCTCAGTGTGACTGAGCCACTATGGACGTGGGTGATGCACTGTACGGGGGCCTACTGTTCCTCTCGATACACTGAGCACATCTTCCCAGTAGAGGAGAGGGCCGCCCACCCACCACATTGCAGCTGCAGGAGCACAGGGGTGGCTGGTTAACGTAGCTCATGGTCACATAAAGTTCCGCATCGTGTCGGGATTCAGGAGCCAGGAGTTGGGCCGACAGCACCTGCGGGGACTGCCTGAGCGGCTGCAGAGCGCCGAGGGGCGGGTTTTCTGAGAACATGGGAAACCCAGCTCCTCAGTGGCCCCAGCTGTCATGCCCTCCTTCCTCAAGCTTCCCAGGCTTTGCCTCCCTAGGTATTTTTCTACTCCCAGAGAGGAAGGCAGGCTCATTGCATGCACTAATGTTTTACACCAAGAGGAGAGCATTCATTATTGTTTGTTCCCCAGAGTAGTTTAGAGGCAGAATGTTCAGAGTATATATTACTCACTTGACAAGTTCTGGCCCAGTTTGAGAAAGAACATTTGCTTGAATCACCCCTCCAATTTACTAATTTATGTTGATAGTAGGTATTACAAATAGCATAAAACAAAATAAAGTAGAATACATATGGGCCAGAGGAAATGCAAATAGAATTGTATGTTAAGAAGGAAATCATCAAAGGTAGGGTGGTTCTCAGCCAAAAACTCAAACTTGGTATCTGGCTGACTGGTAATGGGCAGCCGGGATGTTTTCTGGCTTCTAAACTTCATTATCATAACGTCTGTCTAGTTTCTGTGCTACTGCCCAGGAAAGTCTGTGCTTCTGTTGTTAGGGGAATTAGTGTGTCAACCATTTAAGTCACTGCTTTTACCCAAGTGGAAAGGCTGTCGGCCTGAACCCATTACACTATTGCTGCTGCTGCAGTGAGTCCATCAACCCCCCATGTAATGGTTCAGAAGAGAGCAAAATGGAGTTAGTTGTTACGTAAGGTGTGTGTGTTTCAGTATGAGCTTACCTTGGGGAGCTTCCCTGCAAAGGTTTTGAGCCAGACTTTTATATTCCCCATTGCCAAACAATGTCCTAGGCTTATCTGGAGATTGGAAAAGGATTGAGCTTCATGGTTGGATTTTCAGAAAGAATTTATTGCTTTTAAAAGAGCTCATATCAGCCCACAAGCTACTTAACCAATGTATTCATAATAATGCAAGTTATAGCTATGAGTATCATCGGACAATTTAGTTTAATGGACAGTGTTTTCAATTTTTATAAAAGCCAGAGCATCCCATGCCCAGGTTTCTCAGTAAGCCAGTTTAATTCCTTGCCGGGCCCAGGTTCGCGGGTCATAGGGTGATAACCCCATTCTTTTGTTCTAACCTCTTGGCCAGGTTTTGTAATCCATTGCACTCTTAACCCACTTCCATTCTTTAATCATCTTGCTACTTCTGGATGAAAACCCACAGGGAAAGGATAAAGTCTGAGCAAATATTTTAGATTCAAGATCACATTTATTGAGAATTAGATTTCAAAAAACATAAACCATGGTTTTGCAATACAGCCTCCCTATGAGAAACTTTCTACCATATACTCATATTTATTAGCTGAGAACTCTGCTAAAGGTATATTTATGTCCTTTTCTTCTTCCTCTAGTTTGTAACAGAATTTTCTCTTTAAACTTTAATAGTACGTATAGAGAGAAGCTTAATATAGAACCTTCTGAACAGCTGATGTTCAGAACTGAAATGCAATTAGTATAATAGCTTCTTTTCACTACCAAAAGTAGGGAATATACAAGCTCAACACTTTTGCATCAGCATTGTATAGGCACCACCACCTCCTGCTCCGTCTCACTCCCTGGTGTTAGAACAAAATATATGATCAGAATTCCGTTTCTTGGTCTTTGCAGAGCATTATCAGTTCTTTTTCAAAAGCATGCCCTCCCTGTCTTTTTTGGTGGTGAGTGTTGGAATAGAGAAGAATACTGGGAACTCTTAGGATGGCGGTTAAGCCCTGAGCTGTTTAGACTATATACTCCCCAAGACTCTTGGGACTACAACAGTAGCAAGTTCCATCCTGTTGAATTCAGTGGAGCTTTGAAAATGGAAGTTGGGATAAGGAAGAAGGCCCAGCATTTCCCTTGCATCCCTAGGTGCCTCACAGTAGTAACTCTAAAATGTTAAAAATCAAGTATAAATTATTCTAAAGTTAATTCACTGACCCCTTCCTAGTGCCAAACAACTGTGGGCTCTGCTGAAGAGATGAGCTGGAATGAAAGGCGGTGGGGGTCTCTGGCAGCGCATCCTGTCAGCCAGCCCTCTCCTTAATTATCCTGCCTTTCAAGGTCGATCTGGTTGGGGCACAAGAGCCTCTGGGGGCCCTTTCAGCGCTGCGTATTTATCCACCACTTCTCTGAGCAGCACTTACTCATGCATCTGGGATTCTTGCAGAAAGATTCTGAGGGACTTTAAACACAAGTGGATTTGACTGAAATCAGTAAGCAAAGAGACTAAATTTACTCAAACAACTGAGTTGGAGATTTTAGCTTTCTGCAAAAGAGTTTTCTTATCAAACCCAATTACCTGTCCAGCTAGCCTTTCACTGCTTCTCAGTGGACATCTGCAGCGTTGCCCCTAAAACGTGCCGTTTGTCCGTGCGATCAGCACATATTACTCACCATTTGCAGTTACCCATCCGGGGAGCCCTGGCTTCCCTTCTCTATCCACTGCCTCTCCATCATGATTCCCGCCTTCCTTCCCTTTCTGTTTTCCAGGTTTTGTTAGCTACGACAATCCAGTGTCTGCACAAGCTGCTATCCAGGCTATGAATGGCTTTCAGATTGGCATGAAACGCTTGAAGGTCCAGCTGAAGCGCTCCAAAAACGACAGCAAACCTTACTGATCCTAACCCCAGAGGCTCCCTGCTCTTGTTTTAGCTTTCTTAGGGTAAGTCCCACGAGCCAGCCTGTTCTCAACAGGAAAGGCAGAGGAGGACCACATTGCCAACTTTTACCAAGAGAGACGGTTATTTTTACAATAAGGCCTCCATTTCCCCTTCCCACCCCTCACCTAGTTCGCCATATTTAAAACTTGGGCTACCTTGTTTCTATCGAGTAAACTCCTCCAGTCGTGCCACTGTATTCTCCTTTGTTTTGCGATTTGAATCTCCTTTTACCTTTTCTGTTTTTTTGTTTTTTGCTTTTTTAAAGGAAAACATACGCAAATAAATGACATCTTGACAATTTAAAAGGCAAACAAAGGCTAATGTGCAATTCTAACTCAGAGACCCCCCTGGTGCCCTGAGAGCACTGCCTGGAGAATTCACCCCTCCTGTCCTGTTTACCCCTAGGAGGGCACCAGCTGTTTAGAGGTCAAGGTGGTGGCCTAGAGCAAGAGAAAAGCCAGGAGAAGCACTTAAAACAATACAAACGTCTTTCCACTACATTTGGTTTGTTTTAATAAGTAGGATTTTATTTTAGGGTTCAAAGAAACATGACATCTATTGGTCAGGTTATTACACTGGTTGTCTATTTTGTTATATTTTATTTTAGTTCTTAGAAAGGATTAATGTAAAAAAAGATTTAGAGATCTGTTTCTTAAAGCTACAGGGTTTAAAAATAAAATAAAAATGAATGAAAATACTTGATGTTTCTTGAAAGATAAATTTAATAATAAATAATACATAAATAATACATAAATAAAAAAGAAAGCCACAGGCCTGTAAATTTTATTTGTAAAAAAAGCATTTCTATTTTTGTACAAAATTTTTACTGCCTCAGAAATAATGGAAGTTATTTATTGCCTATTGTTAACTTATTGGGTACCTAAAGAGCAGTTCTCTGTGCTAGCTAGATCCTTTTGAAGTAGTCTCTAAAGGAATCGTTCTAGGAATGGGCTTTTTTTCACTGTTGGACCTAGGCCTAAATTTTCATGCTTTATCCTCTTGTTGTTTGTATCTGTCTGATTATTTTGTTCGTAACTTCCATTATCTAGTTTACAGTTCAGTTGTCTGACTTTCCCCTTATGTTACATTCGTTGAAACTGGATCCTCCCCTGTCCCTTGCCAGCCCCTAACCCCAAAATACCCGGAATCCATCCCCTCTCCCTCTCCGGATGGATTCTCTTGGGGTTCCATTGTGCTGTGGATAAAGATTGTAAGAAATGCAAATTATGTGGATGGCTCGTAGACTCCCTAATGACCTAAGATTTGCATTAGTTTTTCTCCTGCACCCTTAAGAGTGATTTTGTTGCTGCTGCGTAGATTCTGTGTAACTTTTTACTCTCCCTTGTTTTCTCCCTAGACATCTTCATGCCCGTTAGTTCACCGTTTGCCTAGCATGTCCCTGTGGCGTCTCAAAAAAAGTTTCATCGTCCCGTCATTGTTTCTGATGTCTTTCTGACCTCACATCATATTTGGTTCTCCTACTGACCTTTGATCTAGTTTGACCTTTGAAATTTGCATGTGACCTCATCTAGCTATGAATTCTGGGAAGTCAATGTGAAAAACATTGCTGCATTCACGCAAGACTGAAATTTATTATTAGAAAAATTAATTATAGAAAAAAACCTGTGGCAAAATGTTTCTTTTTTTTTTTCTTTTCATAAAACAGACTTGAAAGTATTATACAGGGATTGGCATTCTTCCCGGTCACTGGTAACAATAGCAATATGTGTCCAGGGACACAGAATGTTGGTTTCTAACAGACTACTTCCAAAAACAGTTTGAGAAAAAAAACTGTCTGATTTTAAGTCTCTAGAGGTCTGTAATAGTTTTTACATTTTTCAGGCAGTGTAAAGTTTTTTGATAAGGCCATTTTAGGTGGCTCACTTTCTCATTAAGATATATATATAGAACCACTTTTTGTAGATTAGTATAAGAAAAATATTTACCCTGTTTTGGGGCAAATGCTACCTATTTGTGTCACCTTTTGCTGAACTGACTCACAGTTAGACAATCCATGGTTTAATGCACATGAAATTACCTATATTTTATACTGTTTCAATGTACAGGAGAAAGGTTACTGTAAACTGTGTTGCGTTGGTGCTTCTGTGAATTAAGTTGTGGTTTCATCATGAGTCTTATGGTCTTAATGTTCTTTGTTGATAAGACAAGTTTAGAATTGGTTTACTTAAAAAAGAATTTCAAAAAAAAAAAGTTGTTTGCTTAAAAAATATTTCATGTGAGGGGGAAAAAAAAAATCTATTCCAGAATAAGTTTTGTGTTGGCTTGTAAAGCATTGATGTCATTTTCTTTTTTCTTATTGTGGACTATTTAGATGTGTTTGTGTTCAGCAAAATGTGATTTTTTTTTCTTTTAAAGAAAAAAAGTGAAAATATATAGTGCCAAATTCCAAAGGTACTTCCTTCCTAGAGCTTCAGTGTGTTTCTTGTGAGAAGTAATTTGATAACATGGGTATTTTATTATGTGTTTTGTATAAATCCCTAATATTTAAAAAACAAAAAACAAAAAAAAGAGGTTAAAAAGTTTGTTAACTTGCTATCCTGTGGTCTTGTTGCCTGAAATTGTTATTGTTTGTTATTTCTCTATGATGTTTTTTGTAAGACATTGTATAAGTGCCCATGTCTCACTTTTTTAACCACTCTGCACATCAATGCTGTGATGGCAACCTCACAATGTATTTTCTTCATAATATATGGAAACCTCTAAGGTGAGAAAGTTTTGAACTTTTAACCCTTTCTACCCAGAGCTATCTGGAATGTTGATAACTTTTATACTGTCATCATTTTAGTTTGTTTTCGAGTGTTCCTAATTTGGATTTTTTCCCCCATGCATATATCTTTTCTAAGTTGTTTTTTGTCTCTACTACTTTTTTATCCTTTGGTTGAGATCCAAAAGAAAAAAAATCCACAAGGCAAATCTGAAGTAAAAATATATATGTATTTTAACCCTCTCTGCTTTTCCCCCTACAACATTTTAACTTTTGATTATTTCTGTTCATTTAAAAAAAAAAAGAATTCTAATGTGCTGCTGGAATTCTTTCTGTTTAAAAACAGTTTATTAAATTAACCTTCTGAGAGGAATGATTGATAGATTCAGCATCTAAATAAATCTTAGATTCTGTGTGCTTCTGAGATCAGATGTAGTAGTAAGTTCCAGTTTAGAATATTCCTATATACCTTCCAGTTAAATGACTTGGTAATGGGGTAGTATTTTGAGGTATTCTTGCTTTTGTTTTTTAAATACTCCTAATTAATATTTCTAATCAGCCATGGTGCTGGGGACTTCTCTGACCCCAGTGGATACCTCTGAATAACAAGGTGTCTGGTGGTAGCTGATAGACCTTTCCCTAGCTTTTTTTTTCCTTCAATGCATGTACTGACCATATAAGGAAAACTCAGTTCGTTATCAAAGTTATGACCAAATACTTTGCATCAGTTCCTGCTGCCACTTTTTGAAGTGCCATATTACTTTGACTTTGACTTCATGTGAACAGATCTCTTGCTGTCTTGACAAATCCCAATGTCATCAGTAGAGCCCCAACAAAAACTCCTGCCTTCCTGAAAGCAACCCCTGGAAGCTTCTTTGTCTCTAATGGAGTTCTGAAACTGCTGGCTCCCTTTACTTCCTCCTTTTCCCACTTGGTTTAATGTGTATGTGGATGTGATAGCCCTGGGATGGAAAGGACTAGCTTCTAATAATGCAAAAAAAAAAAAAAAAATTTCCCTTCTTATGGCACATGCACTTATAATGAAATGATTTGTATTATCCTCACACGTGTTTACTACTGCTGGGGCCTTCCTTCATCCTTTGAGGGCTATTTTGTACTTCCTGCAGCAATCAGCTGAAACAAAAGTTACCACACCTGTCTCTCTCTCAGATCGTTTATGGTGGTGTGTAGATACATGCATAGGAATGCAAGAGAACATTTGAATCACTTAGACTGTTTCATTCTGAATCTCTTCATTCACCCATCTCTACATAGATCTCAAAAAACAATTTCTTCTGATTTCTTCACTGAAGAAAGTTGCCCTCCTCCTGCCCCCTTTTCCTTTCACCCACTGCATTGCCCCCAGGGGAACTGAGTGCAGTTGACAAGAGGCTCAGGGTGGACACTTTAATTTGAGTGTTTCTTATTTTGCAGGCAACCAAGACATATATTTAAGGGGACAGTCCATTCTTTCTGGGGTTTGGTTTGGTGTTTTTTTGTTGGGGTTTTTTTTTTTTTTTTGCGGGGGGGGGCATGTTTCATTGTTAAGAAGATAACCCTCCTCAGAGACAATTTGTCCTTTTAGTCACTTTATCTTTTAATATCAAAAAGAAAAAGCTGCAAGGGTGCGAGGGCCTGTGCTGGAAGAGAAAACACAGGGAAACTGCTTTTTTTTTTTTAAATCTGTAGAGAATAGTAATTTTTAAACTAAATTAGAGAATTGTGATAAAATGACAGTCCTCAAGGCGGAACAAGTTCATCTTTCTTTCACCATAGGGGTTCTAGTTCTTTGGCTTGTGCTACTCTGGACTCATTTTACTGTTTGTTTTTATTATTATCTTAAGTGCTAATTAACATGAAGAAATAAAATTTTAAAAAAAACCTGTAGTTTCATTACCTTTTTGAATAATGTCATACAAAAAATGTATTTGTGTTTTTCTGTGCTGTGAGAATTGTTGTTGTAGATTAATAATATCATTTTGTTTAGAATTACAAAATAGTTTTTAAATATTGTCTGAGAAAAGCCAAAGTTAATGCAACCTAGTGGAAACTGTAAGACCATTGAGTATTGTTTGTTTTATTGATGCATTTGGATTTTGTTGTTTGATGGAATTTGAGCCAAAAAATAATAATAATAATGCAGGCTTTCCTATTTCTACAACTGATTGTACTTATTATGCATTTTGTACCAGTGGAACTTTTTATACTGGAGATTAAAAAAAAATGGAAATTTTTGTGGCTTACTCTAGTGGGCCCCCTGACAATGACTGATTTCAAGTTTGATTTCTGGTTGATAGAAAGAAAGTTGCTTTTCTTTTGAGAATTAAAAACTTTGGCTTGATTTCTTTTTTCCCTTTGCTTATATCTAGCATTAGAATTTTGTCTTAAAATACAGCGGTAAGTTTCACTTTTTATTCTGTATTGTGCAGTTACACAATAAGGTAATTAGATTTAGAAGTACTCAGTCACTTTAAGTGGATAAATGTATTAGTTAAACTTTAGGGGTTTGCTTTTTTGCTGTTTAGATCAAAGTTTTTTCTGATTCTTCCGTCTTCATTGTGAACATAATTGTGTAGTTGAAACAGTCAAACTTATTTTTGTAACGTATGTTACTGTGTGATGCAGTTTTTTGCTTCTGTCTCCAATATTAAACCATTTTCCTAATACTTGTTTCTCTCTCTGCGTGTTGTATTGTTGATAGTCATTATATGTTGGTGATACATCTACACACCTCACTGTTTCACGTATCTGTTTTTTTCTATGTTGTGTAAAAAGATACAGTCGATTCCACCTAAGTGAATATCTGATTTGGAGGAAGGGGAAACTGCACAGCAGCCACCTCTGGTTTATGTACAACAGCCCATTAATCACTGCTTCCAAGACTTATACTCATTTCTGTGATTCACCTAAGTAACTGCCTACAGAGCTGGATTTGCCAAGACCATTTATGGTCTTTTGGCCACCCTGGGATATTTCAGCTTCTCTTCTACTCTCCTGACCTCACCACCTCTTTTTCTCTCCTCTCTCCCTCTGTCATGGGTGTATGTATACAGTTCTTAACAGTCATTAAAAACTGCTGTTGCTTTGCTGCATAACCTTAAGAAACTTAAGAGAAGCAGCAGAATTTCTGTCAACACCCATGAGTCCAAAGGCATAACGCTACAGGCATACTCGTCTTAGAAACTAATCACATTTTTAAAAAAGGTGACCTCTCAAAGGCAGAAAAAATAAACTTACCTGGTGAATAGAAGATGTGAAAAGGGTTAAGTCTATGTGTTCCCACCAACCAAGAGAGATACCTAGAAGTCATTTAAATTACGTATTTTAAGAGCTAAGTGAACCCAGGAGCAACTTTAATTTTTAAAATTAATGAAAGAGAAAAGAAATATATCCAAGTGCTCAAACGGAAGCTCTGCTCAGTCGGGTGGGGTGGAAGGGGGAGGAGGTGAAGTTTCTCATGCTTCAGTCTTCATAATCTACAGTCCATTTCCAAATGAAAGCCAAGAATGCCCTATGAATCCACACTCCCTCCTGAGTGAACGCATATTTTTAAAAAAAGCCTTGACCCCCCCATCACCCCCAACCCCAGTTACCAAAAAGAACAGAAGAAAACACTCTTCCTTGTATGCCCTCTGAAACTGAAGCCACAGGCCCTCCTCCCTTTTCTGCTCATCTCTTATGCTCAGGAATCTGACTGCTCTCCAAGTGCTCTTAAAAGATTCCATGGATGCTTGCTCCCTGTCTTAGCTCTCCTTCCAACATTTCAGACTCACAAGCTCTGACTCAGGTCACCCAGCACCGGGCAGCCTTCCTCTGGCTGCCAATGAGATTTTCCCAGCAGGTGCTCAGGCCCTTCCCCTCTGGTTTCAGCAGCCCCTCGGCTCCCTAGATTCTTTTCTAGTGGGCTCAACAACCGAGGGACCTGGTGAGGTGGAAGAGAGGAGGCTCTTTCCTCCGCAGGCCAAACACCTCAACAAAGTGACTTACAGCAGCCCCAGCCCGCACAGGTGAGAGCTGACTTGCTGCCGCTGTTTCTATTGTCAATCTCATCATAGCCATCATCAGTTTGCCTCTGAAAACCCACAGCTTAAACTAGTGGGAAAAGATGGCTACGGGTGTGATTTTTCTTTTTTCTTTTTCTTTTTTTTCTTGGTGGGGGATGTGAGGGAGGGGAGGAAGGCAGTAGGTAAAGAGGGTGAGCAAGTGTTTATTTTTAAAATATGTAAGATACATCTATCTCCACCATTCGGCACAAGGCAAAATACTCATGCTAAGTAAAAGAAGGGAAAGACAAAGCCAGTTTTGTTGTTGTTCTGGAAAAACAACAAAAACAATGATTCTCCAAAGAAGGGGACAAAAATGCTAGTTACCTTAAGCACTCATGACTGTAAAGCTGACCCCTGCTTAAAGTCATACTTATCATTTTGATTCTGTAAAACACCGATGCAGCGTTAGCAAGGTGTATTTGTTTGCCATGCATGGACCACCTTGGAAAATTACAGAACTGTCATCGTTTACCTTGCTGAGGAAGCCACATGTCTGCCCAGCCCACAGCAGTTTTGAGCAACCATGGTCCGGGACTCTTAGCTGGCAGGCTAGGAAACACAGTGAACATAAACGTACTGTGAATCATTCCTGATAAGTGAATAAAACATTGTGACCAAACAATCAGCTTATTCACTTATCAGGAATCGACTGTTCTGCCAATTCGCTGTTTTCGTTTTTCATCTCTGTTGTAGTTCGCTATTTTTGCTGTGTTCTGTTTTCTCCTCTCATGCTTGGACAAAATCACTGGGAATATTACCTTCATGTGACCATGAAACGTTTATATCAAGTGAAAATGATATCTTAACAAAATCTATGCACTTGCTATCAGGAACACAATACTGGATGTGTCTTATATATATTGAACTATATAGTACTCAATTTCTTAAATAAAGCTTAAGAAAGGACTCTGTTGTGTGTAATGTTAGTGTGATTATTTTTCAAAGCAGTGTTTCTAAGGGGTATTTTTGTTCTTGTAAGTCTGGAGTGATACAGGATATTTTTCATTGAAATTATATTGCTGACTTCATGACTTAATAGCCAATAAATTGACTTTGGAAACAACATGGAGTGGGGGGAAGTTCTTCCGAGTGCATTTTAGCAAGAGACATCTGGAAACCCATCCCCTTACTGGTGTCCAGAGAAAAATCTCTAGCCAGGGCTCAGTGGGTAACAGAACAGAGCAATCCCTTCACTGCCAAAAGGCCCCTGGAAAGCGCCCACAATCTGCCCTAACCTAGGAGACCGAACTGCCTTTCTCAATATTATCTCTGTAGGCTCAGGAAAAAAGTAAAAGAAAGGCATATCCAAGAATAATGCTGGTTTGCATCGATGCTTTTCCAAAATGATATGGCACTAAAACTATACCCTGCTGGAGAGCAATGGTGGTTCTATTCAGGAACTGCAAGATGAGAGAAAGCAAGAGAAGACATTTGATCATTCAGGATGAGAAGGGTAAAATTTCAAAGCGCTTTGTGAGAGAGACATCCTAGAACAGTTGCAAAGCTTATATGGGAAGCCTGCAACTTGGCCCTTTGAAGGAATATTTTTGAAATTTTTCCTACAGGCCGTACTTGGAACAGAACAGCATTTTCTGTTGGATTTTTTTAGCTTTGGGGTTTTATGTTGGACTTGTTTTTCTTGCTTAATGTTTGATTCTAAGAAAACCTCCTAAACTTCTACTTGCAAAATGGCACAGGCATCCTATTCATAAAACAAATCTTAGTTATCCCTGACAATGAGGGACAGAGAGAGTATGGAAGATTTTCTGTGGATGAAAATCCACAGAAAATCTTCCAGTCTTTGCCTCTTCCCACCCTAAACTTTCTGCTTATAAATTTGTCAACAAAAACAAACTAGTGGAAGAGCCAAGAGTAGCAAAATCAAAAGGTCTAGATAGACTGCATTGCTGAAGCCATACAGTTTGGGACCAGGGGAAAAGGGTTTGTTTTTTTTTTTTTAATTTTATTTTATTTTTTAAAAGGTTAACGTTCTGAAAACCACTGGTCTTGGGCTGCACAAGACCTTACCTTGAATATCAGTCGCATAGCTAGAAAGCATCCTCTTTTTTAAATACAACACATCCAAGGCAACAATGAGTAGGAGAGCACTGAGCCTCAGTCAGAGAAGAATGAATGAAAACCAACATATTCCCCTCGTTCTGTAGTCCCATTTCAGTCGTTCCCCACTACTGATGTCGCCCAAGGGGGGCTGCATTCTGGGAGACATAGCTCAGAGGGACAACTTGAGGGCCTATCAGGTGGGGGCTGCTTTAGAGGAAATGCTACATTTCTTTTAACCTTTCTCCACTGGGCAGCAAAGCAGCCTAGTACCTTCTACCTGCCTACATCCAGAGCGCTTTTTAAAATAAAAAATAAATATATAAACATACATTCAATATATGTTATATATGAAATATATGAACACACTGTGTTCTGCAACTGGTCAATTATAGTTAAAGTCCCATGTAAGACC